ACGCGTCAGTGGGAACAATCTTACGAAGTGCAAGTCAAAGATACTGGCACCCAGAGATGACATTAGCAGTATACGAAGTTCTTCGAATCTGCCGCCAATGTCAATTGATGAAACCTCCTGACGCAAGTCTTGGAAATCTTAGACCAATCCAACCACCACCTCCTTTGACTCGGTGGGGCATTGATCACAGACAGGTGGGCCAAAGAATATTGCTCAATGCAGTCAAATATGCCACTTGCTGGTTGGAGTCACGTATTGTCTTAAATGCTGATTTTGAATGTACAGTATCCTTACTTCTCTATATATTTCAAACTTTTGGCACCCCAAACCAGATAATCAGCAACAACGCAAACTGTTTCACAGGAAACGAAGCAAAAAAATTCCAGAGACAATACAGATTTACCATGACTCACACCACCCCAAATCGGCCTCAAAGTAATGGTAAAGTTGAACAAGTAAATGAAATTCTAAAAAGTATCTTAAGTCGTACTTTGCTTGATAATAGAACGATGCCTTTTGCTACGGCTCTCGCCAGAGCTATTTTCATCTTTAACAGAAGAATCTCGCCGTTAGGTTATAGTCCATTTTTCCTCCTGTATGGCACTCAACCTCCGGAAGAGGAGATATTATATCCCATCTATGCACGAGAAGCAACCACCAGCGAAGAAAAAGAATGGGCAAATGATCTGGCAAAATTGTATGCAGCACCAATCGCTCGATCTTATGTTAATAGTGTCATAGCATCACAGGCTAAAACACGCGAATATTTGCAAGAATGTAAAGCACTGCTGAGAACCTTTACATCAGGAGACTGAGTCTTGCGTACTAGGCAAAGAAGACATAAGTTTGAGCCCTATTACGATGGCCCATGGGCTATTGCTGCTTGTCATGCGAATAATACCTATTCATTAATTTCACCTGGAGGTTATAGACTTGTAGACCGATACAACGGAACAAATCTATTCCCTGCCTATGTGCACAATGGACACCCAGTACAAAGTCTGTGGTATGGTAGCCAAAATATGCTTAACCAAGACCGAAAATTTTTGAGATCTAATGTTGGTATTGGTCAGGCTGAAAAGAGCTGAGGACAGCTTAGATTTAGGAAGAGGGATAATTGAGGATCCAGGATCATAAATATTGTATTATAATTTGTCACGTGTACCCCAGTTTTTATGCATAATGCACACTAAGCTAGAAACCTGTATATACTAGACACATCCTGTAATTTTAGAGGGGAGTTACACACCGTCTTAAGATTTCACTATGTAGAAGATATAGTAGAAATCCCGAGACATTGTGACCTACGATTTCCGTATATTCACATTTTATCACCCTAGCATCCTAAGAACTTAAAACCTCCCCCGTCACAATAACTTTGCAGTGGTGCTTACAAATGAAATCTGAGGCATGAGTGTTATTCCTTTCAATTGAATCATTTAATGTATTTTTCTTTGACTTTGTGTCATGGTTATATAGCTGCTAGAAAATTAAAATCTGATGCATAAAAAAAAGAAAAAACCATGAACTGTAGACCCTAAGCCGCACCCCCTTGCGATTGCCAAAATCTCATTCGATGGGCCCTTTAGCACTGCAAAGGCCCCATGAAGTAGTTATCTTTTTCTATCCTCGTAGAACTTACAAAAATTTAGGAGAGACTATTAAAAGACTTCCTTTTTCTACCTTCTTATTAGGTTCTGTAAATTTCATGGTGAGATTCGCATTGCTGACTCACCAGGGGCAAATGCCTCTATTGGCGTATCGGTGAAGTTTACTCACAATGATCAAAGCCTACCTGGGGGACTATTCTCAACACCTGTCAGTGGTGTCCCCTACGAACCTCAAGCTCTCACTGTAGAGTCTGCAGAGCCGAAATTGAGTAACAAAGCCCTCACTTCGACGAGGATTCCCCATCGCTTCCGTGATTATATGGTAGGGTCGGAGCCCTACTCATCACCAATCCTTGATCATGGAGGAGAAGCCATCCAATAAGTTTCCAGAGCGTACCCAGCACCAGATACAGAGATGGCGGATTGGACCAAGTCTGCCTCGAACGTTACAAAGAAGGGATATATAGATAGAAATGCGCACCTCATGTGATCCGGCTGTCTAGACATCGCCTGACTGGGTCTGCAGTTTTTCTGAGGGCTTTCTCCTGCGCACGCAGTTTCCATTGCTCCCTTTTTTTGGGGGGGGGGTCTCAGGGATGAGGGTTTGACAGTGTTCCACGGGGTGCGTTGTATAGCCTAGTGAAGATCTAGGTGGTAAGTGAAGATTGTAAATGGGTCAAAGGAATGACAGGTCTTCTCTAGGAAGAGATGAATGGGCAACTAGTTGCAGTAGATGTTACACATGGGTCTTGCTGATGAAGAACTGGGCAATGGATATGTGGTCTTCCCGAAGAAGAGATGGGTGAACAAATGTATTGTAAAAGGTAAATAAAGAAGACGTTGCGTGAGGAGTAAATCTCTCTCACGCCGAACTATTATATACAAGAGTAGAAGCCTTTGCCAACCGGAATTAATCGTAATCAATTCTTGCCAATATCTTTGCATTAATGGCTATGTTCTTATCCTTCTCTTCATGACTCTCTTGCATATCCTTACATGACTTTTTACACGACTAATTGTATAGGGGAAGCTTTTATTAAATTGATGTCTTTAATTAACTACCCCTTCATCTTATCACAAATTAAAATTAGTATTAAAATTCTAATTACGGATCCGTGAAAAGGGGGGGGGGGGGGGTAGAAGGTTCCATGGAAAAGGCGGCCAAATTCCACGGGTAAACACTGAGCTGAATGGCTATTCATCAAGGGGAATATATCAATGATCTTTCAAGTAACAAAAGAGGATAGGAGCACTGTACAAGGTGTGGCCTGGGTCAGAGAGGAGCCCAATGTGCTAGATAGTCATAGAATCAAGTAGTACAATAAAGCACACACACACACACACATCAAAGCCTATCTCAAATTTGCCAATGAGCCTACAAAAAGTGTAGTTATATTTTTGTTCACTAACGTGCTCGGTTAAGTGACTACCGTTGCACTCCTAATGGATGTTAAGCACGGGTGGGGCCGTGCTGGATCAGGTTAACTACCATTAAGTACAAATATCTCGTCCCACCTGAATGACAGGACCACCTCAGACTTCACCCATGTGTTGAATCATGACGAGCCCAACCGCCTAGAGAAAACCCTTTTGGCGCGCCGAAGCGCAAATTACTCCTCAGCCTCAGCCTCGGCCACCACGCGCCCGAGCCCTTGACACCTTCGCCATCTGTAACTTTTTCCTTCCATTCATTCCCAGCTTTGGCTCACCTCAGCATCTCCTCATCTCATTCAGGGGTCGTTTTCTTCACTGGAGGCCTCATCCATTCGCCCACCAAGGCCTCCTCTGTTTGTGTTTTCTTTTGGTTCCTTCATGTAGCATCCCTCTATCCTTCGGCCGATATCATCATCCAAGAAAATTTGTAGAATGTCCACTCCTCTGGCCTTGCCCCGTCGCTGCCGTACCCCTAACTGTGGAGGTCGAAAATGTGACTGAGAGCTCAAGACCAAGGCACCGGTGCCCCAGCCTTTGTCAAACTCTCTGTTGGTGTGCCGGCGAATTGTCGTACTTATTTCGTCGGTGGCAATTCGTCGCAGGTCGAGATGTTGGTGCTCTTGGCCGAGGTGAGGACGCATTTAAGGCAGGTATTTCCACCGTACCTTCACAGCGACTGGCAGTTGCGAAGGGTCGGACATGCTCTTGCTTCTTTGTTGGCGATTTGACTTTTGGAGGTATGGGATTGCTTCGGTAGGTGATGAGATGATTGTGGAGAGGGCCGCGAGATGAGTTTGGCTGAGATTGAATTTCCAGAGAATTAGAAAATAAGATATTGAAGGTGTCAGTTGTTGTAATACGAACATCAGACAGATTATAGGCTGTCTGCAGTTCGTATCTGGGGTGTAGATGGTTGGTTTTGTTGAGCTGTGCAGTCGTGAAATCTCTGCAAGTCGGATTTTCGACCAAAAATGAGCCAACACCACTCCTCCCGATTGCCAACTCGACGCAAACTCTCATATTCACCCTTTGTCGCGACTGAATCTCGGCTCTGGGAGAATATTTCACTCCCAGGTTCGTAGAGGACATCACTGACAGGTGTTCAGCCTTCGTCCTCCGCAAAGTGGAGTTTTCGATAGCGGAGCTAAACTTGATGCAACGACGCCAAATCTAGCAGGGCGCGGTAATGAAGTTGCTGGTTGGAACTCTTCGAACTTGGCAATTTGCTCCATCCCTTGGTCCTTCGGAGTCATAGATTTGATTTGATTTGAATATGATTTGAAATCTTTTACGTGACAGGGAGAACCTTACATCTCTTTAGACGTTAAACGGGTAGATGGCCTCTGATTTTGGAGTCATAGACTTAGTAGGGAATTGAATTCTATTCTATTTGACCGATCCAGCTTCGTTCCTGTCGAAATGTCAAGTATGGTCAAGTGGGAAAAGTCGGCAATCAGAATGAATCAAAGGTCAGTTCTCATCCCATTCGTCGTCCCCCAAACAAATCTAGATCAGATAATATACGCTGGTATTTCTCTAAGCTGAACAAAGAATGCTCTTCCCCTCACGATGAAATTAGGGTTGCATGACTCGAATCATCAACGATTTGCAAGCCATACAGGCCAAGTTGGCTCGTCTATTCCTTTGGGAAGCTCGGCACGGAGCAAGAGCCAGATGCTGCGGCGTCCAGTAATTGAAATACACACACTATGAAAGTAGATGAGGTCGGATGTTTGATTACAATACTGTCTCTTTTCCTGCCATATTTATCGTCCAAATTGTCAAGCACCTCTTCTCTAACTCCCGCCCACACAAACATTTGCGTTGAATACTAGAAAACGAAATCCATCCATTCACGTCACATCAGACTTTATCTTCCCCTAGACCTTCATTCTACAATTAGACGGCTTACTGTTTCCAACTCCAAGACTAATTTCGTGACAAGGAAGCCTCAAAATGAAGTTTTCAAATACTGCTTCGACCGCGGCACTGGCTGGCCTTGCGCTCCTGGTGTCTGCGGTGTATGGGGAGCTCACTTTTGAGGCTTCGGGTAGAAGAGTCATTTTTGATTGTGGGAGCATTACAGAGTTCGACTACGATACGATTATGCATTACGTATCACTTGCTACCAGCGATGGAATGAGAGTCAGAGACCCTCCTTATTTCAATGGAAAGGTCTATGGCTCATATTATTTTACTAAAAACATAAATAATGGTTAGTTTTCCCGTAATTTCCACTTCGCTCTCAATAACCATCCATGTCTACGACCAGAAGAGAGAAGTTTCTTAGTCCAATCTGTTGAAGCACATCCATTCTACCGATTTTTCGATTTGACAGTAACTCCCACGGAATGTGAACTCAAAGATAAGAATGCGCAGCAATCATAACGGTACTATGAATAATATCGAGGCAGGATTTGTCGTCGCAGGAAACCACCAGAGTACGCCCTCCCTGTACCAGTCTATGTTGAAGTTTTAATCTGACCATAACTCTGAGCTTGGTGATGGCCAGCAAGACGAAGAATATCATGACCTGTCATTAAAGATAAAAGGGCGAAAAGGGCATTAATTAGAAGATAGGACCGATATAGTAATGGGTGATTAGCCCAGAGTAGGTATGGGCATTGTGAATGTAGTCGAAAGCATCATCTTATTAAAGAGGAGTCAAGTGCGCAATATATATATGTACACGTGTCATATCCCTGTCACTAATTACCAAACCCCGCACTGCCATAAACACCATCAACCTCTGCTATTCATCGCAATCCTGAGTATCCATCTGAGTTAATATTATACGGTATGTTTGTACGGGTCGATATCAAGATAGAAATGTTAACAGTCTATGCTCACCTTGCGGCACAAATAGGACATGGGGACTATCTAGACTTGACATGAAGTATTTGACTGTTGTGAAACGAGGATGGGCATGTGGGGTTTTGCGTGATTGTATATGATTTTTCATCTATCAATAAATGAGCAGTTAGCTATCTAGCTCTGTCACACAACTGAAGCTGTGTCTACATGTTGGATGACTCATTTGAAGTTAGAGATACTCATACTCTGAAATTCAATCCCAAATACCACTTTGAGCTATACTTGCTTGCATAAACAGGCCACCCTACATCGTAAGTTCTCGCCAAAGCGATTTTTCAAAGTCTGTGATTTTTCAAGCATGTCTCTGTCATCAACAAAGATGAGAACCGGGAGAAAGACGGTTGTTTTCTGCTGCATTCGAACCAGCGATCCCCCATATCGAGTGAGAGGTGTGTCCACAATAGCTAGAATCTGCCTGAGAGACCGGTTCAGGTGATACACCACCGTGCCATACAGCCATGGAGTTGCCAAACTCCGAGTCCGGGCGAAAGCCCAAATCGAGATTGCATCCCTCCCCTTATGATGTAGGAATCTGGGTAACTAAGTACCTGTTGGTAAAAGGATCATATTTTGGCAGTATGAATTGTTCTACATAGCTGCGTTATTCAGATTGTCGTTAGGACACCGACAGGGGTAAGATTTAGCTCATTAGCGAGGCGCTTGGAGTAGAGGAAGGAAGGGGAGATGGAGAGGAAAGAGGGGAGACATCGTTTTATGTATTTCGAGATACCAGTTGATCGACATTATTCACCGACTTCGTGACGGACAGCTGACTTCGTGACGGCACCCAATTTGTATTACTTCGTGTTTTACCAACAGTTAGAATTTATCATTTACTTCCTACTTATTTGCAGATAAAAGCTCAACCAAGGCGGTGTTTATAGTGTTGTCTGCACTCTTGCAATCAAAGTCATGGCGCGCACACACCTCAAATTGCAAAACTCCTTGGCAAATTACAAAATGACGCACCTGCTGAGATGGTATCTATTCTTTGCGCTTCTTGTGAACTTGTCTTAATCTCTCACACGTTCATCACAAAGAACTGCCTACCAGATTTGAGCACCAAGTATTATTCCCTCCGTCTGGCACAAATATCGGCATGGGTGCTTATTTGGTAGTCAGCTAAGGCTAGAGAATAGTCGATGTGGGGTGTGGTCATTGAAATGAGGAGATAATTGATCGTACTTTTAAACTTTGTTATGACACGCAGAGTATGGCAAGCAAGAGCTCAAGGTTTGAAAGGTAATAAAGCTAAAGAGCTGAGCTATGTCTACGAATTACATATAAATAAGTGTGTAAGATTAAGCGAATAGTAATTAATAAGTCACCAGTGCTTCCATAACGCCAGACCTCCGAAGGTATTCTAATCCAACTCCTTGTCGGTATACCATATCCATAGCCACTTGACAAACTTTATGAGATCTTTGTCGAGATCAGTCTTGTTGGGTGGAACAAATTGATTAGGCGGAGAATCTTGAATCATTTGCGGGCCTACCTGTTGGCGATTGTGATATGTAACTGATCTGGGTCCTGAAGGAATATTTTACTCCCAGGTCTGTAGTGGATTCCGAGTAAATGTGTTCAGTCTATGTCCTCCTTCTATTACGGGATCGGCCCGGTTGGTTATGGCTGGGCTGTTTGAGGCTATAGAGATGTAGCGGGTTACGTAATGTGGTTATGTAATTAGAGCTAGTAGTATGGTGGTCGTGTATTTACGCGTTGCAAAGAGAAAATAATAGCTTACTTGCGACTTCTCACAGCTCCGAACCCCAGTGTATTTCTGGTGATCTACGCAGGGAACTCTGGAGTGGTAATGTATATAGGTCGTTAGCAACGAAGTTAGATAACGCCCACTTTTCCACACGCTGTAGAACGAATTTTCGTGAAAAAAATCTTAGGACTCGAGGCGAGATTCCGGGAACAACCCGCAATATACCATCGAATTGTCAATTGAATCACTTGACTCACAGAAACACAGTCATTCTTCTCCTAGAGAATTAGCGATCATAACTTTCTTTGGTGCAGGATATCATATCCTACAAAATCTCTTCATCAGCATAGTACTGTTTACGAAATTAGGAACACAATTTCGCACAACTTAGATCAACATTTGGACCATCATTTCGAACAATTATCCAACAGCATACAGGACTCCTGTTTGAGATAAACCACACGAAATCTGAGAGTCGACAGTTTTTATTTTTTTTACTTTTCTCTTTTTATTTTAGTCCTATCTATTCGTCCTGGCCAACTTTCGAAGAACACGCTCATTGGAGATTGCTAGCTTTGATAGCTCATCGGAATGATCTGAGGATTTTTTAAACTCTGTAGAAGCTACTGAGTTTAATTTAAGGATCCGGGAACTGCCCATCCAACCTATCAATCCACACCATCTTTGTCCTCAATCTCTTGAGCTTATGCTTCACAGAGTTCCAAATATGACTACTAAAATGGCCACAGTGAACATAGATTTTGTCGAGTCGTTTGATGGCACACTGACAGAGCGATTTTTCCGCTTACTGCATGACGCTTTTGATGAATCTGGTGTTGAATGGACACCTGCACAATTTGTCAGGGCAATCAACAGAAAAAGTAAAGTCGCAGCGTTAGAGGTGCTAAAACGAGACGCGAGATGCTGTCGACTGATGAAAGATGCGAGAAATCCACTAAAGGCTATCTCAATAGAAGATATCAAATACATTGAGCTCCACTTATTGAAGCATTTTCCAGGCAATGAAGTGAAGAAAGCGGTTCCGGATGAACTTGTTGAGGATCTAGCTCAAGATCAGGACGAAAAACTCGAAGCCTACTCTCTTCGGACGTTCGATATTCTCCTAGTATTTGATATGACAGACAGCACGAAAAAGAGTCAAGCAGAGAGCTACATTTTGAAGAAGGTTATAAATGCTTTTGGTAAGGGATTATATAACAGAATTCTCAGAGATGAAGTTCGCAGCAGTCGTGACTGGCTCATGTGTGATACGCTATCTGCAGCGACTCAGGTCGTTCAAGCAACTAGCAAATTCTTGGAAGCAAAAGCAGAAGCAGAGAAAGAAACAACAAGGTTTCGAAAACTTGATATCCTTGAAAGATTGGAGCAAGGAATACTCCCACAACCAGAATATGACACTTATCGTGTCTCACTCGGGAAACCGAAGCAGCAAATCCCAAGCCCCTACAATTCTGCGAATTCTAGAGCCGTTTGGTTGACCCCACCACCTCAGCAAGCGTTGCCAGAGCACAAATTTCCGGCTCAATATAACGTAGCACAAGCTCCATTGAGAAACCAAGAGACTATTCCAGAACTAATCCCCAAAGGTCAGCAGCTACCAGATCCAGGGACTTCTCGCCATCCCTTGACAAACGGCCAGCGAGTGTACAACGGAGAAACATGTTGCTACAAGTGTGGCCAATTTGAAGGAGTCGGCGTGCATCTGGGAAAGAATTGCAGGAACCAACCGATGTCGCACTGGGAACAAGCGTACATCAGAAAGTTACGAGATCCTCGGAATTCCCGTACCATTGGCTCGATTATGGCTGTGATAGCCTAAAATGAGGGGTTACGGAAGCAAGCAATATCGGGAATGCAGGAGGTGAATAAGTTGAGTCTTGAATAAGATGATGGGCAATCCCAGCAGATTCAAACCCAAGCATTCTCAGGAACTGGCTCAAGTGAAGTCCCAATTGTCCCTCGACAGATGACTTGGGAAGATTTGAGACAGGTCAGAGGAGATCAAGTAGACTTCAATACAGTGCAGATAAAGAAGAAGTCGAAACCTATAAATTTCGATGCTAAGTCAACAGTATTTACTTCGGAATTACCCATGAATTATGACTCGAGCTTTTCAGATACAGAATCAGAGGCAAATCTAGAAGCTTTTCCCGTAAGAGCGAAAGCCGTAGTTCCTTAAGGAGACCAAGACACTAGTAGGGCTATAAGTTATTATGAAAGAAAAAGGGTCGCTGTGATACATAGTATTGGCTCGTCAGAGGACCGACACGCTAATGCGACGCTAGAATCAGATGGTCGAAGTCGGAAGACTCCATCTAAGGTTGTAGATGCACTCTCACAGACAATATTCCCAGATCCTAAGTGTGAAAAGGACAACGTTTTGGACTCCCTAGGTGATATTATCGACGATCAAGAGTGAAAGCCTAAATAGGTATGGAAAGACATGAATGGGGGATATGCAGAACTTCTACGACTGCGCAGGATCCAGGAAGATTACGCCACCATCCTTGATTCAAAATCGCATGAGTACTCAGTCAATCCTCCGCACAAGGAGGCCTTCGAGGAACAATTAGATGCTCTCGCTACACAAATGGTAGAAAGAAAAACAAGGTCAAAATACCAAGAGTCGGAGTGGTACCGAGAAATCTGGATTGCACTCACAAGGGCCTCCAACCCTTCGAACCTCGATCGAGTACAGGTTGCTAGATTAAAGCGATGTTACAATAATTTTGAGTTGATCGGGGACAATCTGTTCTTTCGGATGATAGGGGTGCGGAAGATG